ACAAGATCTGCTTTGTCGTTTTATTCATATATGTGTTGTCTGCTTCGGATAATTTATAGAGAATATTCCACTTCACTAATGTGAAATGCCATTCGTGGTGGTGATTCTATGCTAAGTAATTTTAACTTCTTGACCACTGAGTAGCGATATGTGCGTAAGCAGTTCTGATAGTTTGATTTCATAAAATTGAAGTCTCAAAGAGTTGTTTCAGAAAGTTATATTGCCTCAACGTTCTAGTGAGGCATACTACGCTGATATGCTATGCTATTTCGGATTTAGTTTCTAAAAAGATGGCATCTGTCCTTCTGCCTGGAGATGCAAATGAAATGTCAGAGGTTTTTTTTAAAACTTACTTACTTCTGGACTTGCGACTTCTTCGTTTGAACTCTTTCTAAGGCTGAAATTAATAAATTCAGCGTTGTTTTCGTGAGTGAGATGGGAACAAGCAAATGTTCAGCACCGAAATACCTCTGTTTTAATATGAATGATCACTTCGCTCTCGCCTATAAAAACGTCGCATATACAGTAATGCGTGATATTCGACCGTGTAAAGACCTTTTTTTCTTCCGAACTCGATACGTATGCAGTTCTCAAAAATCTTCTTGAATAGTGATAGAAAAACTCAAATTTCTAAGTGAATTATTCACCATTTGTTTTTTTTTTTTTTTTTTTTTTTTTTTTTTAGTTTTTTTTATTTTTTTTTTTTTTTTTTTTTTTTTTTTTTGTTTGAAGTTTTTATTTTTTTTTTTCCTTATTGCTAACGATGACTTTTTTTTTTTTTTATATAGCGACGTTTCGATTTACTACGCGTGTAATACAGTTTACTTTCTTAAACTACTGTTTTCTTGAAATAGTGAATTAGAAACTCTTCTTGAATAAGTTATAAAGTAAGCGAATCTTCAAAAAATAAATTATTTAATATAAAGTAGTGTCACAGCAAACTGTCTGCCCCTGAAATTGAAATAAAATATTTCTGTGCTGAATCATTAATGTTTCACCGTCTGAGACGTTGATAGTGAGGTTTCAAGAAAAAAGTAGAAAACATTAGCAGCTGGCAAGTACGTTATGCGGCACTTTTGTAGAACTATTGAACTCGCTTATATCCTTTATGTGCTCTCTTCTTCCGTCTTGGACAAAAACTATTGGTGCCTGAAAGAATAGAAATAATGCTGTGAAATTTTGTTATAGTTTGAAAGAAAGGCTAATAGTTAATTGTCTCTAAATTATTTTAAGTTTGGGATATTAATAAATTTATGTAATTATTACATGTCAGAGTTGAAATATATACCTCATAGTTCATAAAAGATAATCATAAAAATCGACTCATTAATGAAATAAAAGACTTGTTTAAAGGCTGAAGGAAAACATATTGTTAAATAACACTGGGTAAAACACGCAGTGGAATTGTCGGAAATGAAAGAGCGGACACCCTTGCTAAAATGGCGGCACTTGGGGATGGGACCGATAATTTTGATATTCAAGAAAAAAAGACCATCGATGAAATGGAAAACTGTATTTATACAGAATGGAATATTTGCTGGGAATTGTCTAATAAGAAAAAAAAATAAATAAATAAAAAAGAGTTCGTGAAAAATATAAAGTTTAACAAGAAGATGAATATTATAAATAATGCTGATGTAAATCAGGTAGTGACTAATCATGGGCGCGTTTCCCGGTTTATTTTAATCAGTTCCATCTACAGAGGAATGATAAATGCTTAATATGTGATAAGTGTTGGGGACGCCAGGCACTTCGTCGATGAATGTACGCTTACCCGGAGTGCAAACGAGAAATATAGAAAGAATTTTAAGGAAGATTTTAAAAGGAACTATTCAAATTTGAAAGATTTTGCAGAGAAAATGATGAAGATTATAAACACGAACAAAGATAGAATTGGAATTCGGCACTAAGACTCAGAATTTATACGTTTTTTCTTTCATATTTGGCAGATCAGCAAAATCATTTACAAGTAAAATTCTAAAATAGTCGGCGAAATTCTGAACTGAAGTATGAAGTTAATTGAACTACCTGGTTCTCGGTGTTATGCAGGCTTGCCCACCATTTTTGTAAAAATGGCTCCTAGGATCTCAAAAATGCGTTTCACAGAAATTCCCAAAATGTCGCCGAGTTGGCGAAAAGTCGCCAAAGATCACAAACTCAGCGACAAATATTATTGCTGAAGTCCACCAAGAATCTTTCTGTCCATATCTCCGCTTTTCGTTGTTATTTATAATGTTGTTGTTACTATTATCCCATTGGGCGCTTTACGGAAAGGAAAGATGCTCCATGGAGGACCTTTTAAGGGAAATTTGGCTCGTATCCACGTTACATATGGGAAAAACCACAAAAACGCCCATGCATCCAGCCCATTCAATGGAACTTGAACCGCGGACCAAACTACCAATGAGTAGCTTTTACACTCGGCTGGCGCTTTTAATTGAGCTCTGTTAAATTCAAACCTCAATCGGTTTAGAAGCATAAAGCTCTTTGCAACACAATAATCGAAATAAAAACTTACAAGCAAAATAAATGGTCAGAAATTTGATCAAACTAAAATATATAATGAAATGCTGTCACAAAATGCATCGATTAAACGGAAACATTGTAACACTACAGAAACGGATAAAATCCAAAATACAGGCACAGGCTTGAAGCAAAGGCAGCACTTATGCATTCCCATACATTCATTAAGTATCGCCTTGTCTGGCTAACTGTTAAATTTTCAGCACAGTTTTGCGGGCAAATATTCGAAAGGTGGTCCGAGGGCCTCCCACTTCTCTTCCCCTACCAACAACTACTCGAGAGGAGTTTTGGATCACCGTGTATTTTGATTGCTCTTTTCCGCACGTAGACTATATTCCTTGTGCGTGCAAACATCCATGCCTTCTCTGTGATTATTCAGCGTCAGTAACCAATGTACTGTCTAGGCGGCAGATCCAAATTGCAGTCGAACACAAATGTTTACATAAACTCACAACAATAATATAAAAGTCTTAAACGTATGTGTTTAGGTTTTTCGCTGTTATTTCTTGCTACCAATAATAAATAAATTTATAAAAGAAAATTTTAATATTAATAGAAACATTTAAGCTTCGTAATTGTAAACTATATTCATTAGAAAACGAATAAAAATTAAGTAGATTAAAGTCTACTTTTATTATTTTTTTGAATAAAACATACGGTTTTTATTCAAGTAAAAATAAATATTCATTTATTTAAAAATAAATATTCATTTATAAAAAATATGGGAAACATAATCAGAAAAAGTTAAATTCATACAATTATAAACTGCGTTATGTTGCTAGCAAATGTTAAATATTAAGAGACTAAATAAGCAATATAAAAACATAATCAGAAAAAGTTAAATTCAATACAATTATAAACTGCGTTATGTTGCTTAGCAAATGATTAAAATATTAAGAGACTAAATAAAGCTGTCATTTGTTTTCTGAATAACCTAATGGATCAGGTTGTCAATAATATATCTATCTCATTATGACTGAATACGAAGTGGAAGGCTTCGTGTATTCATATGTCATACAAATGGGATAATCTGTTCTCCTCGGGATACTATTATTTCAAATGCTTTGCGTTGTCAATGAAAAAGCCTCCCCATTGTCTTCCGCATTTACACGTCACGAGATATGTCTGAACTAAGAGATGCTTTGATGAAATATGCATAGCGATTGAATTCAACTTTGAATGGTCGGTGTAGTCAGCCGATTATGAATCTGTGCCATTTGATATTTAATTATGTTGTTGCGGGGAATGGTACGATCGTTCATCATCTAATTGTCATCTCGTCGACCTGTGTTAGAAATACGTTGACAGAGTGCAGTAGATGATAGCATTTTCCTTTTTTGATAATTAATAATGTACCTTTCGAATAAAATTCACTTTATATATTTGATACTCATATGACTATTAAATGAAGCTATTTATTTATATATTTGATACTCATGACTATTAAATGAAGCTATTTATTTATATATTTGATATTCGCCTGATTTTTAAATAAGCCAAGGTGATTTATGATTTTTCTTTAACTACCTTTGATGAAAGAGGTAATATTTAATGTTTCTATTTTTTCCCCGATGATATAAAAAAAGAATCCTTCTTCTAACAAACGAATGCAATGTACATCTGAGTTTGTAAAATGGTTGATACATTTTGGAATATAAATTCTAAATACGGTTATTCAGAATTAAGTTTTTTACGAAAAGGGTCTTGGTGAACTCAGTCCCTGTATGCAAACTAATGGTTTTGTTATTTTATCAACATACTCAGCCGAAAGAAATGTTTGTTAATTTGCAATAACATTTTAATACATCTACATTAATTAGCATTTTGTATTTTTCGGAACTTTTCCTCTTTTCTTCTTTTACAGTGTATAAATGATTTGACTTGCTATTTTTAAAAAGCGTATAAGTGGTCAAGCAAACAAGATGCAACTAAATAAAAAAAAATGTAAAAGTAATAAAATTAAATGAGATTAACATATAAACAAATAAGATAAAATTTCGTAACCTGTTAAATCTTTAAAAAGATAAATCTCTGAATTGCTGCATCAAGAGAGTTCTGTGTTTACCGGTAAAATTCTCACCTATACAAAGTTTCTTAAATTGAGTTCTTTTGATGTTGAGTCCACCTTATATGTCAAGAAGATTTCTAGGTTCCTTACTTCAATATTTTAATGCTTATAGTTAAATATATGGTGCAACGAAATTTTCATAATTTCTTTTCGTAATATATTTGTTAGTGTAGCTTTTTAGCTTAAGTAAAAATAAACGAAAGAAAACCGAAGGAGGGAAAACTCACAATTATTTTTGTAATTTAATTAAAATTCAGTGTTTTAAGTAACGAAGTGAAAACCATTTTCAGAAACTCGAAGTATAAAACTGCTGTATGTTGATTCTTAATAAGTGTATAATATTGTTTGTTTACCAATCTTATGTGATGCAATCCCGCAGAAGTTTCATGATTTTCTATATTTACTTTAGATGATGAAGTCCTGTAAGGGCAGGATGTAAGAGTGGTACAGAATGCCATCGGGACAAGAAGATCCTCTTTTGGAGCACGGAACTTACAAGAAGTCGGGTCACAAGAATACAATCCTGCAGACCGTCAAGAAACAGGTTAGTGATCATTGTTTTTAATCTGAATGTTGTACATTAGTACATTGACGTGTCCATTGGGAGGGGGGACTCTTAAATCCACCAGAAGTGTTGGAAACCAGATTTTAAACAGAGGCAAATTAAAGTAGGCCTTCAAAAAGCATTGGAATTTTCTTTTCTTCATTGAATTGAAATAGGACTTCTGACCAATTTCTCGTTTCACTTTTGTTCTGTATAGATATCCGGTTTGTTTCCTTTAGAAGAATTTGAATTTTTCATTCACTTCACTAAGTATTTCCCTGGTCTCCAAGAGTTGAGCAACAAACGGTAAACTGATGATAATTCAAAAAGTATGCAAAGCTTGAACGAAATGTGAAAATATTTACTATACCACTTGAAAGCACACACACACAAAACTATTATACAGAATAATTACATTTAGTGATAGCAACAGTAACATAAAATCTCTTAAATTCGGACATACAAATTAAATGCAGAACATTTTCTTAATAGTGAATATGATCACCCCGAACAGCAACAGCCCTGGCAGCGATGTTTGAGAAAAATTATGATGTTAACAATAAGCTGCTTCTGTAGCAATGCCTGTTGATCACGTAAAGCAGTTCTAAGATCATGTAGGGTTTGACGAGGGGATTGGAAGCCAGCAACACGTCGGCAGAGAGCTTCCCACACCTGCTTAATGGAATTAAGGTTGGGAGAACGTGCTGGTCATTCAATTTGGACTACAGTTTCTTTTTCAAATTGATGCACGAGGTCAGCAGTGTGAGCGTGGGCATTTTCTGCTTGTAAGATGAAGGTATCTCCAGTTGTGTTAGCATACGGACTAATAGTAGGATCCAGTTTGTCATCCCTGTACCTCTGAGCTGTCAGAGTTCCATGCGCAGTACATACAGATCTGTGCGCCCACCTGAACATAATCTTCCTCATACAAGAACATTGCCTCCTGCTTAGGTATCCCTTTGCTGGATATTAGACGAAATATAACAAGTATTTGCTTCTTTCGGTAGGTAAACACGTAAAAAGTTACTCTGTGAAGCAAAACGAGACTCATCAGTGAACAGAACAGACTTCCACTGATTTTTGGTCCAGTTTACATGGCCGCGTGCCCAATTCAAACCGGTGGCAGGAAGTAAACAAGTCGACTAGCATACAGACTTTTTTTCATGAAGCCTTCGAGTGTCTATCCTTCCTGTAGCAGAAATAAGCACGGATCTAAGCTGGAGTTGCAGTCCTGTTGCTGTGTGCTCTAAAACCGCTGTCATATCTGCTATTGTGAGCCGGGACATGGGATTGAAAGAAACATTTCTCAGAATCCCCATTTCCATGAAACCTACGTAGGTGGGTTACCATCTTCACTTGGTAAACAGACTTGAAAGCCGAACGGAAATCAATTATCGCTCATATTGGCGAAAGAGTCATTTGCTTTCAAACTCCGTGGTGTATCTTGTATCTCTCACACTTTTTTCATTCTAAACTTGTTTGTTATTTATGGAAGACACTAGAAAGGTGGTGGAAAGCATAAATAAAAAGTGATAATCAGTTGTGCAATGTATGTTTTAAGTGATCAAATGTTTTATAAATGCATAGCTGTTAAATTGTTTGCTATTCATAAGCCGTGCATATACTATGTAAATCTTATGTAAAATATAATTATGTGTATACTTTCATCTCTATGCTCATTAATTATTTTTCAACTATATATTCCATAGCCAGGATAATGTGTAAAGAACTGATGAGTACAGTTGCCATCAATTACCTGATCATTGTATGAATTAGAAGTTACTTCAAATAAACATTTTGGCAATGCTAATTTTTATATTCATATATGCATATAAATGCTAATATAAATACTAAATATAAATCTGATAAGTCATATATTTACATATGCATAGAGAGAGACTCGATAGTTTAGAAGTTGTTAATGGACGTTTATTAGTATTAATGTAATGAACAAGATTTATATTAATGCATATACAAATTGTTTTTCATTGTCCATAATGATAAATCCATAAATTTCAATATGTAGCATTTACAAAAAAAGTATAGTTTCTAATGTATTTATAATTTAAAAAGTATTTTATTAATAACATAAAAATAATAACATACAGATTTAATGAGTATTCTTATTATTACATAAGCTGTGCTTTCCTTTTTATGCACCTTTTATGTTGTTTACAGTATGTCCCTGATTATGCAATGCACAATTTAGATCAAAAGTAATTGGTAAAAAAGTAAAGTCGCGCATATATAAACAGAATTTTAAAAAATAATCACCTTAAATTTAGTAAAAACAAATTCTATTAATATATAACAATATTTCTATACGGTATTATGCTATGGATCAATATGAAATGTAACAAATTTAGCGAAATTTTGGGGACGAAGGATTTGTAAACAAATCATCAAAAGTACAAGAATGTCCTAAAATACTATCTACTCTCAAATTTCCACGATTATAATTTTTGTAATCAGTATATAAACATTTTTAAAATGACTTAAGAGGGTTACGTTGTTAAAATACAGCATACAAATATAGTTTTTTTTTTTTTTTTTTTTTTTTTAATTTCTTCAATAAAAATCGGCTTCCATTGCTATCGTCCACTACGTCAAACTACAACCATCGCAATATTGGAAATTACGCGTGATCTTTCAGAAGCAGAACTTTCGTCTGATTCGTTGATCTCTGCGCGGGACACAGCTGCAAACAAAACATTTTCAGCAAAGTTTCAAAATGTCATGGGATGCTGGACATCGTTTCGGCGGCGCGACGGAACATCGCCTCCAGTCGTGTTGATTTCTCTCGGAATGTCCCGCCTAGCAGCACGCGTCGCTAGATGTAATATGGGTTTAAGGTTGCTCTTGTCATTTTTAGAAATGGTAACTCTTCTGTAAGTCATCGAGAAGTCGAACCAGTAGTCAGTACTGGGTTCCACAACCAGCTTAGGACAGAACGGTTGACGTTTAGACATTTTGCAACGTCAGACTATCCTGCTTGTAATCGGCTATAATTGTATATCGCAATTCTTCTGACAAATGTCGTCTAGAACTCATTTTTACACTGTGGTTATCTCGAATAATATGCCGTCGTTCATTGAATTGTGATTCTCTCCTAAACAGCTGATTTGGAGCTGTATCGTAGTTTTGTAAAGCGATAGCATCGCCACACTTTTGCGGAATGCTAATTGATAGATCTTGATTTTATTTCTAACATATACAAATTTCAAGCCCTGAGAACTGCTTTTAGCCAAATTACCGCAATTTTTCAGTTTGTTTCTTACTTTTGCAAGCTTTTACTATACCATTTATTATTATTTTAAACACGAATATATTAATTTTATTATACAAATTCTGTTAACAATCCCGGTTTTATGCCGCATAAAATTATCATAATTTTTATTGCTGCTTCTCATTATGCGATCATTCTTTATTGTGTTAGCCATCAGCATTTCAGATACATTTTTTTAAAAGCTACAACTGACTTCATTGTTGCATTCTTGGAATAAATCAAACCAATGATATCATTTTCAAATTATTAGTTATCATAAAAACTGCAGCCATTTGTTAGAAATATACTTTTCGTAAATTTATTGGAGACCACGTTGTTGGCATGGTGTTAGTCGCCTCACAAAATTTTATTAAAATAATATTTTAGAAATTTTAGTGCACTTTTTAAGACAATTGTGTATCTTTTAGTTTAAATTAACTAAAAAATGTTGCAGCTAAGTAAATAGAAGAATATTTTGCTACTACTCATTTATTGAGATAAATAGAAAATCTAATAATGTCTTATTTATCTCAATAAGTGAGTAGTAGCATTACGAAAGAAAAACAAACAAAATACAAGGTTTAGTAATGTAGTAAAAATATAAGCCGTGTATTCAATCAGTCTGCAAAGTTAACACATTTATGTTAGTAGCTTTATACCATCAAAGTCGTAATTCTAAGCTTTCTTCTCAAGTAGAAAACATCTACACTCGAATCTTAATTTCGGTTGCTAAGATGGTATGATCAGAGTAACTTTATCAGATCTTTGCTAGTAAATAATCACAAGAAGAGTGACACTAAAGTTATCAGGGTATATTTACTATTAGATTTGTAGTTTGTTTTCCTTCTGCCAGTTAGAACGATCTTGAGCATGCATGGGATCAGATAATTCTGAGCAGCAAAGGCTCATTGGTAGTTCGTCACTCGTTACAAAGAAACCAGCAGTAGACTAATTTATCCGGCAATATCACATAGCTGGAAACAAGGCTTGCATAATTTATTTGACTGTATAATGTAAGAGGAAATGAGTTGTTGCGTAATTTATTTGACAATATTATTGAGCAGAAAATCAGCTGCATAATTTGTATCGGATTGTACAAGAAAGCAGAAAATGATTGTTTACGTTGTTGTAAAGTGTGATTCGAAAGATAAAATAGAAATTTCTTAGAATGAAAGCGATCATTCTGTGAAAATGATCATCTTCTTCAAATCTCCGTGTTACATATAAGTGTGTAGTTCAAAAGCTATGTATTATAATTCAAAGAACAAATTTTATTCATTCTGTCATAAACTTATCCTACAGTACAGAAAGATTCGAAAATTGAGAATGCTTGGGGATTTAGATTTCTGAATTTTGCACATGCTTGAGGTAATTTCAAATCAATGTTTTCAGAGGAATGGAATTAAGGTCCAACGCCGGGAATCTATTCTGGAAATTTTTAGAAAAGGAAACTCTTTTTATATGATGTGAATTCAAATTTTTGATTTCCCATGCTTTAGATGCGTTATGTATATTTCACTTTCCCCCTTCTTTCCTTCAATATTCCATTTTTATCAGTTTAATAAAAATTTGGTAACATCGTAAAGGTTGCATATATAAAGGAAGACGCAGAACAGAAATTAATATACTACTGTATTTAGCATTGTCACATCGCGAATGATCGATTTACTTAAAAATTATGAAGCATTAGTAGCTGAAAAATAGTAGTCAGTTTATTCTATTTCAGTTCCAACAG